TTGACACTTGAAATATTCTTGTTATTCAAACTAGCAAGTGTATTTTCCCCATCCATGTCATGACGTACGGTGGTTCTATTACAATTGGTAACAACGAAATTTGAAACACCACTCGAACAATATAAACTATTTAGAGTATATCTTAATTTAATTAATTAAAGTATTTAATGATTTAATGGAAATGTTTTTGAATTGGTTATGTTTTACGTAATTGCACTCACTGTACAGTATATCGTCACTACAACAAATCAGAACCAAAATAATATGTTTTGAATGTGTACCCCAAACAAAACACAGTATACAATTGTTGACCTCTCCAGAGGTCAACCGGCAAAATTGTATACCGAGACTGTAAACCGAGAAACTACTGTTGACAGAGACCGAAGGTCGAGGTCAACAGTAGTTTCAAGGTTTACAGTCGAGGTATATGAATTTGACAGTTGACCGAATGGAGAGGTCTACAATTGTTTTGTTAGTCAGAAGAAACTAATAATACTCATATTTCCCATAATTCACAAGTGTAGTACAGTAACATACGCGGTCAATAATATGATATCCCATGGATGCACAAGTGAGGTACAGGCAAAAATGTTGACCGCTAATTGACCAATCAGATGCGAGTATTTACACTAAGGTACTAACAATACTGTTTATTGATGTGAAAGTGACACATACAGATACTTTTTACATGCATAAATACAAATACAAGTACCATGGCAACTGTATAAAGAAACATTATTCCCACATCGTGTTTCAATTGATAACGGCTGCAACGACAAGCGCACCCTCTAATAAACACTTTCAAAACTATATCGCTATCCATTAGCCCCCTGGCGGTTAAATGAAGAAATAATTCCATATTTCATTAAATCTCAATTCTATTTGTGAGCTGCACATCCTTCATAAAGCTGTTCGGATCATATTTCGACAAAGATGGTTTAACAAACATGAAAAACCATTTCTATCTCTATAACTACGATTATTTAGTGGTTTTCCCAATAGGTTCGCTCCTATCGTTGGTTAGTCTGAAGTAAACGTGTAAATATTTCAAAGGGAAATTAACTGGGAATTAGGAATCTTCTAGCTTTGTTTCCAATGTGAGTGGATTCAGGTGAAGACCACTTGATAACCATTACTATGCAACACTGTCTCTTTTCAAAGGATTCGGAAGTCTTTGATGTGCAAATGTTGTATGCCTCTATCACTTGTATTCTACATTTTAAAGTTAAGCAAAAGCAGTAATGTTGATAAAGCATCAATAATAATGTACGTTTACTACACGTAAATGACCTTAACTTAGAGGAGTAAACAAATGAATTCGAAACCAACACAACAATAAAGACAAAAACACACACAATAAGAAGGCAAGCAATACCTGATTATATATCGATCTGACCTAGCACTTAGGAATGTGTGTACATTATCTGCGTCTTAAATATAGCTTCTTGTTCAATGGCAAAACGTGAATTTTCTCAAAACTATACTAGTTTCACGAATATCCAGTTAACCAAGCTAAAACCTTTGTTCAATTTAGCGATTATTATCAAATTGTTTTGTCATATGGTACTAATATATTTTATCCAGGCTATAATAGGAGTGAAACATAAATAAATATCATGCCATGTTTTATTTGATATTAATTAAAATTAATATAACTATATTTTATGTCGAGTTAACAAATGCGTCTGATAACGTTACAAAATATACCGTTCACAAAATATACTACGTGAATCTACATATAAAAGTACAAGATTAAAAGTAATCAACTGTCATAATCGAGGCATGTGCAAAGATATACTTTTTCAAATTACATTCATGTGTTAGGTATACATGTAGTTATCATGTTGCAAACCCAATGTTAATTAACAAAAACGTTTTTCAATAATTCCTAACTCCTATATACGGTTGTCAGAAAAAACATCATCAATCTAATGTTGTGGTATAAATTACTGGTAATATTTCATTAAGGCGATTACGAAAGACGGGGATATATTTTAATCATGAATGTATGATAGATTAACGGTATCATTTTCGACTGATACGAGGAATCTTTCTTCGCAAGACATATGGAGGATACCACATTTTGGAATTGCTTCAAATAAGAAGTCTATGTTTTCATTAATTTCAGGATATATCTCACCATCAAAAGATTAAGTTTAATATAGAAGACACGACTCAAGGGTTAACTATAATGAAAATGGAAAAAATACATTTTCTGTCATCAAAATAATAAACGATAATGTAAAGCTTTTACCCTTACATTTTCACGAAGTTTTTGTTTTACTAACACTGCCCAGTAATATATGATTCATTGATACAATGCTGGTTGTAAGGAATGGTGTCAAATAGATATTCTAAAATATATGTCCACGTATTTTTTTTAATATATTTTAAATGGAGAGGACCACGAGTGGATAGATTTTGAAAAAGTTAAAATTGGAATTTGAGTTTGGAGTCATATGTTGGATTGTGTGTTTCCTGATGGGAGTGGAATGTGCCTTCATTAACCGAATGCCACTCTTATGATTTCCTTTTAGTTTATGACAACTACCACCAACATACAAATATAATTCCAACACAATTCAATTCAATCTTGTTCGCCAAACATTTGTTTTTTCCGAAAATAAATTTGAATTTCTCTTGCCTTACGTCTGAACTGATATGATAGAGGAGATTCATGTTTGAGGCCATTAGATTGAACTAACAAACTGATAAATTGATGAACATTTTGGAGGAACCTTTACGACATGTTCTTCATGAATATGTGTGTTATTAGATGACTTTTTGCTCCTATCCTATCTACCTAGTGCAATATTCTACCCTAAAATAGAAGAGTCAGAATGAATTGATCCGCCATTTTGCAAGCTCATTCTAGTACATACCATCGAGATAAATCAAAACCTTTTTCAGAATTGTGAAACATTTCAGAGATAATTGTGTATTTTTTAGTTTCATCTGATAGATTTATGATATAAAAATATGAGATTTAGACAAAAATTTAAGGGCACTCGAGGCTTGAATGATTGCCATATAGAAATACTACGAGATAAGTACAGAAATATATGAGTTATTTCGGTAATTATAGACAAAGATATGAAATATTTGAGAATGAACGCATTAACCATCTTTGATTTTTGAGGCAAATGGTAATTATAATCCCTTTCACGTTGTTGAAAGTCCAAGAATAAAGCTTGTTAACGGGTGACAACTTGATGTTGTAAAGTGTCAATATTAATCAAAATTGTTCGACCACTGATCAACTATTTCTATAGACTACTCCCAAATGAGATACTATGTATGAAAATTGTTGACACTCGTTTAGCAAAATCAACATATTATATTTCTCAGAGTCAATAGGAGAAAATTATTCTTGAATTAACTTGAAATCAGTTTGATTAATTCCTGAGAAAAACGACTTTTGTGGCATATGATCGTGAATAAAACTAGAACACTCGCGAATACAATTGAATTCTAATATAAATCAGTTAAAACTCATTTCAGCTACAATTGGTTTTGATATAAACAATGGTTGAAATCTAATCATAATTAGTCGTATGTTTGCTTTACATATGTGTCATTTGAAAAGCAATCTGAATGCAAATATCTCGTTATTTTTAATTTACAGCAAGTAGCGCGGTGAATGTCATAATAACCAAAATGAATACGTATATTTTCCTGAGAAACCATTAGAAATGTGTGTCTTTTTGCATCAAAACAAATACTTTATAAATCATAAATACAATAATAAATATTACGAGCAAGATTATGTATACTACCATCGTTTGTTAACCAGTATGTAAACGATGAAGAAACTTAGTTGATGAAGAAGTCAAAATTAAAATGGCGGCAGTTTGTTCGCCGATATCGAGGATGATATTTTCCATTTTCCAATTTACTATGAGTCGAACTTTCTTCTAGTTTTAAATTTCGAGCTTATATAAAATCATAGAGTTGAAAATTATTTAAATATACATTGAAAGTACTGACCTTATGCAGAAGAATGGGATTCAAGGCATGTCCGTAGTGAGATCGTAGTGCCTACGAAGGACCGTGTTAGATCTCAATTATTCTACTTCTACCATAAACTCAGCTTTAAGAATTATATTTGTAACTGTCAAAGGCCGACAGTTTTCATAAATATTGCAAGAATATAAAATTTGATGTTAAACTATTAGAAGAAATCTATAGTTTTAGTTATACCGTCTGATGGCGACATGTAATAGTGAAATGAACAAATCATATTACCATTGTCCGTTTTTGAACCATTTTTCTAATTGAGAAAACTTATTATTTTATCATTATCAGGATATACCAAATTATCATTAATTATGTAATCAATTTCAAATTATACTCCCAAATTGAAAATAAATCATGAATTTAGACGAGCATGCAAAAAATGTTACAAAATTTGAGAAACACCTACCTTTTAGAAATACTACCAATGTACAGTCTAAGTGTATTTTATCGTCCATTTTAATTTATTTCGAGAACCCAACTGTCTTCTAAATGCATTTATTATAACATCAACTGTAAACAAATACTTCTGCTAATTATCCTCAAATTCTGTGCCTTAGATTTTATTTAAAACAATAAGATAAATGAATAGGCAGAATTGTATATTTACTCTACTTCTATTTACAGATCTCACAATTTCTACGATTACGGGAAGTACTTCGAAAAATATCCATCTTCTTTGTGGTCCGATATCACGTCTCTCCTCTCTCTATGATTTCATAAATTTCTTGGTACATCATCTGGCCCCAGTGTTTCCTTTAGCTATGTGCTATGACGAACGATAATAAGTTTGTGATTATAAAGTATGTGAGGTGAGCAATTGTTTCTACCCCGCAGACTATGAAATGATCTATGGAGTTTTAATAAAGCAAAGTCAAAGGCTGCTAGTGTGTACATGTATACATTACTTGCCCATTCCTGCACCACAAGGATCCCATCTGACTAAAAAACATGTATAAAAATACAGGAAGTTGAAATGCACTTACCTAAATAACGCAAATGACCGTAGTTATGGAAAAACTAATGATAATAAAGCTACAGCGTCCGCACTTGTGCTATCACATTTCTAGCTCTGGCCTATGCGCTTAAATCACCCAACCACAAGCCTCTTGGCTCTAATCCTTTTGCTCGCTTACCTTGCTCTTTTTGTGAAATGTTTGAAATGCTCTCCTTGAAATAACCTTTTAATGGTTTGTGACCTCCTTCTATTCTCTCACATTAGCCTGACAAGCACAGAATTAATTTTTACCGAATATATGTAGCAAGCGTTTTTTTACAAACTTCATCACGTGACAACGAGGGAATTATAATGAGGCTCGAGCAAAAAACGAATTGGAGACGTTCTCTAATATCGCGGTAAAATTCAAAATCGTCAACAATTACATTAGTTGTTTAAATAAACAAAAACTATTTCATTTAGCCACATTTGTACGTCTTCCAAACTTCAAGACGTCCAGCAAGGAGTCCATCTTGGAGTTTGGTCAACATCTCAATAACTAATACACCAAGGTTCTGAATCATATAATGTATGTGAACCTAATGCAGTCCAAGCAATTCCACTATTTCGTAATTTATTGCTCGTAAATAGCAAGGATAGGGGTTGTATTTAAACGATGGGAATACTTGATGACTATTATGTTATATAAGATCTTAACAAGGCATTCATTTGGAGAATTATGTGATATATGGTTATGTTCCACCATATATCACGCTGATCGTCACAATGGGTCCTATAATGATCAAATGAACATTTTGGATTGATGATTCTATAGTTTTAATCATCTTGAAGGTCTACAATTTCCTCAGATGTATTTTCCATTTGGAATTTATATCTATATATTGGAATTCAGTTGTATGAAATATGTATTTTCTATGAAGAATAATATAATCCAATACACGGGACTGCATGTATCTCCATGGAGACGTTTTCGAGTCAAAAACCGGAGCCAATTTTCGGCAACTTTAAAGAATATATTTTATTGATAAGGTAGAGCGATATAATTATAAAATGGTTAAAACATGACTTATGACAAATGACCAACTCTCAGTGTCACGGCGGCATGTAAGAACGGGCACGCAAAACAACCCTTATGAAAAAAACAAAGCACAGGCTGAGCATCTGTAGGTTGATATATCCAAACTGAAGGTACTAGCACTGTCACTAGAATCTACTCTACTTATAACCTATTTATAAACGATCGTGTCCTTTTAATCTGTTTTATGGTGTAATAATTGATTCTAGTAGTTTTCAGGGTCAACGCAAATTGGTTATGGTGATCTTTTATTTGACAGTTTAAGTAGTCGAATGTTTTAGGTGTTTCCAGGTCCCCATTCACCTCCTCAAGTCGTAAACCACCATTTGTGTCAGCCCCTGGTGCTTTAAGAGGAATTATCCACTCCAGCCGCTATTTTATAGTCCCCTGGTTTCACGGTCAAGCCTACAATGTTGCAGCAAATCTGTATAGCCAGATTTACACCAAGACTGACCCATAAATATGATCAGTAGTTAAACCAGCAATAAAAGTGACATTTATGCCTAATAAATAAGAAGATATTTCAGAGCATTTGATGTTAGTACACTATGATAGTAGAGTGTAAATTGGTCACGCTAACATCACAACATTGCTTGATATGTAAACAAAACGTGGGGTTTATAGTTATTTCTAGAGTTATTTGACCTACTTTTTAAATAATACACCAAACGTCATGTTTTCTTATCAAGAATTTGCAGTTTCTCAGAGATCAGCTTCACCAACAGGGCTATGAGAATAAATAAGCTGAAGAAAGATTTAAAAGTATGAATGAGATAAGGTTTTATTTGTGTGTGCTTGTATTGAAAGACAAGCAGGCAATGAAAGGCTTATTCTTTGCTTGAAGGCAATTAGTGAAATGGAAACTGCGGTATGCATCAATGGGCAGTAAATCAAAGATATCTTTCCGGGATCCTGTGTACAACTGGATGAAATCCTGAAACTTTCCACCCTGATATAAAGCAAATAAGACAATAAATCAGCTTGCGAGGATTAAAATTGCTAGTGTGACGGAACTGAGGTCTGTCCCGGTTGATTTACGTGGCACCACGATCCGAAAGTGGAAAATACATACGAACATAGGCCAACTCTGGGCGGTTCATCAACTAAAACAGAAAAACCTGCAAAGTACAGGGCAAATTATCGCCTACCTAACTTTAATGCCTTGCAAATAGCTTCCCCCTCGACGTTTTATAAATTTAATGGATGTTGCGGAGTTCGTAACTCAATTCACGCTCGCTGATTTATTGTCCAATAACATGTCACTTGGGCCAGAAGATATAACCAATTTCATTTTTACCCAACAAACTCTATTTGTTGACAAATCTAACATGCAGAAAAACTCATCTAGCCAAATGCAAAATTGTCAAAATATCTAGCAATTAGACAATTTATTGCTTTAATGCTAGCAATATTTTAGCTGCGGTAAAATAATTCATTTTCGCCTCCATTATTTCGATATTTGTCATTCTCATTAAGGAAAGGGGTGGCTCAGTGTAGCCTCTATGGGATTTCTTAAATGCTATTACAAAAATCCATTACAGTTTGAACTATTCCCAGACCCAATCAAGACGGAATGGTAATCACTAAATGAAATCTATTGAACTTTAATGGTATTACTTCCATGTTAACCCAAGACTGATTAAACAAGATCAATTTCTACGATTACTTGAGGTTATCTATAGATGTCTTATTGTCTTATTTATATTTTAATTACAGCTTGGAAAGTCTAATTTTTGACGATGTAATGATATTACGTAATAAATAACAAATGCATTATTATTATGCCATTTCAGGTCGTCCGCATAGTCTTAGATGCTTCGCAATCTGGCGCCAAACCGACTGAGTTTTGCAACCCATACCAGTGGAATAAGGTCTCCCCATCAACCCATACTGTATAGAACACTCAGATGATACCAGCATCAAACCTGCACATTGTTATGATGTATTGCATTGGAACAGGTGACAACAAGAACCTTGGTCATGAATTCAAAAGTGATAAAAAACAAAGTATTGCCAACATGGAAGAGCAAAATCAAGTTTGATGATACACGACACGCTAATACAGTTTGAATTGAGACCAGTCATAACCGTCCCCCTCCTCAATGGATCAATGTGACCCTGGTGAATTTAACTATAGTACGGTGAAGAAAAGTACTGCCTGTCTAACCACTGTTGAGGAAGTTAAACACTGAGACAACACCTCAGTTGGCACTGTGTGAAAACGCGCCTTTAATCTGAATATAAGCGATGTATATATATTTCTGTTATTGACAATAATATCAAAACATGACTCATTAGTCTAATGAGATGATTTACATGGTTAATTTCTTAATTTGTTGTTTTCTTGATCATGTGCAATAGACTGGACCGTTTTCTTACGTGATCCACGTTTACATGTATTTTGGAGACTCGACGTCATCGTCATTTGTAAATCAAAGTTTACATAATATCACCAGACTGTTGTCACAAACCAAGTAAATCACAATAACTATAATTAACAATTATACAACGATGAATGATTATGCTTTCGTGTATTACAATAAAATATAACCTTTATAACTTATCAAATGCAAATAAAATAAATATACATACCATTTTGTTCTTTCTAATATGACATTGTAAAACAGTGTTCCCTTGATAGCATCACCTGGATGGCTTGTGAAGCAATGACTAAATTAAAATCACTTCTGTAGAGGGATTGTAGAGGGAATATACGCTAGTATATTGCATATATCCTATGGAATATATTATCAAATTACTGATACGATATCATTTTAAATGAGAAGAGTTTTTTTAATGGGAATATGTTGGAGCAAATGGATTTATCTACTAATGACTGTTTTCTTGATTAATGATAATGCATTTCCGGTGTAAGATTATATACCTGTATAGCATTGTTATGACTCATTAAAAAAAAAAATCAAAATTCCCATTAAAATAAATAAAAGCTTAGAAGAAAAATATTGAATTGCGTGCATGTTTAACTTGTACATGTTTATCTCTCAAGTTATCTTAATGACCAACTATGAGCAACTATTCTTCTCATGTCTAAGATGAATTATTATGCAATTTCTGAGACGATTTGAGTAAACACATTCTATTCAATCAATGTAGAATTACAGACTGCTTTAAACAGATTATCGCTGTCAGCAATGTCTAAATCAGAGAGTGGAAAATCATTAAAAAATTCAATAAATTTTGTTGACATTGTTTACGTTTTTGTCCACTGAGTTGACATGTAGGTCATCATGATCTCATAATAGGTATTATCATTCAACCGTTAAAGATCATTGAAGTCCTTTTATGAGATCATCTTTTTATTGCATTTCATTATTATATCTTTTCTCGATTATATTTGAATAATTGTGAATTGTTGTGACAGTCTTCAGCGAAATCACATCGAGTAACATTTGAAAACAAAACGAGAAAGCACTGTTACATGTGTGTTCATGTATTGGACGTTTGTCAATAGTATTTCCGTTATGTGTTTGTTCCGTTGTTTATTGATAATGCAAATAAAGTAAACTATAAAAAATACATCTTACTGGTAAATTGTTTTCCTGTGTTATACGTATATATACACCCCTTTCATAAGGTTGGAAACCCAGATCACTTTTCTTTGGACCTAACGAATAGCGTTAGATCAACAGATATCATATTATCACCAAAGCACTACTTGGCAAATTCTATCTTAATTAAAGGAATAACTTATGTGAAATCGCTTCTACACTAGGCAAAGTTCATTTCCGCACTTATTTTTGCTTATTTTGTGTAATAACTTCCGAAAGTGAAGCAAATCAAATAAATATTTCTAGTTTATGACAGCATCGTAGAATGAAAATTTAACAATAGAATGACAAAAACAAGTCTTTTAAAAGTGCTTCATAATTTCCATATTTATGTATAAGAGTGTATGAATTGGTATTCTACGCGAGTGCCATCTTTATGGAATTTTCTATATGTTAACATATGCCTGCCTACAAACCTGAAAAGTACTCAGACTTGAGCTTATTTATTAGACTGTATTACTATTTTGACTAAACAGAGAAGACAATTCGGTATTTTTTGTTCTGTATTTTAATTTATGGGAAACAAGTTATGTACATATTATACATCCTAAATTTAAATGCAATGTTATTGCGAGAAACACAACCCTTTGCATTCATTCGACTTCACTTCTTAAAAGAGAGCTTCGCCTGTAGTTTATAACTAGACTCTGCGCGCAGGGTACAACTTGGTATTCTAATTCAACACAATGTAATTTCTTTATCTTATGAAGAGATCTGTGTATTTATTAATCAATTCAGAACTAAAATCGCAACTATTCTACCATTTTTCTTATACAAAAACGATGACGTTAATTTATAGGATGTCAATGAAGTTTTATATATGCTATCATGTGAATAAGTAAATTTCTTTAGCGTGGCCTGAACACTTATGAATCCATGAGTGAGAACATTAAAACAAATCGTACACACGACGTCAAGATACATGAGATCACCCTGTATAATAAGTTGGTGTTTTTGTGATTTTTTGAAATCGCCTTTTGTGCATTTTGTTTTATCAAATACGAATCTACCTTAAAATTGATTAGCCAAAAGTATATGCTGCCCAGAATATATTTACTTAACAATTTGTATTTGTATTGTCTTCTGGCATTGTAATCTGAATTGAAGTGACAATTGGAAAAAATTAAAATCAATTTAAACCGTTACACCTACTTTTCTTCCCTGAAAATGATGCAGTTTAACCAATTCAAGATTATGGTAATTTAAACCATTGTCTAAACATTTGTTACACGTCAAATAAATGATATACAGCTAATTACGATTGAATTCTCGAAAGATGTAAAATGTAAAGTTCTGGTTCAAACAATGGTAGCTATACATAACAAAAGAACATGTGTGTGTTAATGATGTGTTTCACAAGTGCATGAATGAAGTAATGGAAAACAAAATCAATCCTGCAGAAATATACATATCAACATATGATGCACAAAATAAAGTTTGTATGAAGTATCCATATACATATATATTTCTTGTTAGTTGTTTTTCATAAAATAAGTTAAAGTCATAGTATTTACAAATGTACAGTTTTCTATGTATAGTAAAATGACACACTTAAGTTATGTGTTAAATGTTGTATGATAACAATAATATTAAACGTGTCATTTTTGGTCCAGTTTTCAATTTAAATCATTTGCATAGCTTCTAATAATTAAAGTTACTTACACCTATATTTTCCGAAGAATCGGGCAAATGTACAAATATATTCAAGAATTCTCCTCAATTGTACCCAAGCTTAACGTACTTGAAAAATGTAAACGTATGTAAAGCTTATAGAATCACATCTATATCATACAAAACGGTTCCTAATGCAAAAAGAGAATTACTTATCACATTATTAAGATTGGCGTATATACATTTATGATCCATACAAAGTTGTTGTTTTGTTTGCTTTAAAATAAATTTGCCTATGGTGCTTTGTCGATATGATATATGAGAACAACTTTTATTCTCCATTTATCATTTTCTCCTCAAACACCCGTGATAATAAACGTTTGGACCATCTTTGGTGTTCTATGATTCGCAGAATCACACTTTAAGTTATAAATATACAAATACCATTTTATAAGAAGGAGATAACAATCACGTGAAAAACATTTTTACACCGTCAACATGAGCGTTAACATCCAAAAGATAGAAGTTATGTCTCAGACCTGGACGAGTTTCCCTTCTATCTCCATATAATAACACAACACTGCTGTAGTAAGTCAAATAACTGACCAGACAGTTGTAGACAAGGGCTTGTATCTTTCTCAGTGATCTGTCAAAAGGAGTACACTCTGTGCTGATAAGTTAATACATAGATCTACATATTTGGAGGGGATCCAGCAGTCATTATACAATAGTCTTGGTCGGAACTTTCAAGTTGAGGTGGGGGGCCTGTCAATTTTTCAATGTTATTGTCTTTTTTCCATTTCATTCTCCGATTTTGAAACCATATTTTTATTTGTCTTTCTGTAAGTCCTAAAGCATGAGCTATCTCAACCCGCCGCCTCCTTGTTAGGTATCTATTGTAGTGGAACTCTTTCTCCAGCTCTAGAGTTTGGTATCGTGTGTATGTCTGCCTTGTTCGCTTTTGTTCCTGGAGTGCCAAGTCTGCGGCCGCTGAAGGAAAAACAAAAAACTCACATCAACAAAAAACTAAACAAGGTTCGAATAGTAAAATGATATAAAATGTAATTCCATTAGCTGCGTAATATGCTGTTATCCATTTCTAATGTTTTTACTCTTATTTCAAATACTTTTAAATTTCTCAAATTTCAACAAAAAGTCAATTGCAGCACTCCATACATCAAAACGTTATGTTACTTGCATTTAGCCCTATCCCATTTCCTCTATAGTCAATTGCAAATACAAGTTCCTTTGTTTCAATTTAGAAAGTTTCTTTTGAAGTACTAGTAAGAGCACTTTCACGAGCACTAAATGAATTTCGTGATAACTGAAAAATCTAACTTAGTGAATTATTGAATGAAACTTCAATGGGATTTTCTTTTCCATTATTCTAAGTCAGTGACTATTTGATAACTTTTCATCAAGGCATACCATTGAAATATCTATCTAAGTGGTCAACAACAAAAACTAGTAGCATCATGCAACCGAGCAGTTAATCATAGGAGTGGGTGTTAATACACTCCAGACTTCATAGACACCGGCCCTTGTCATTCATCTCCTATCTCCTTCACTGGATTGTTACACAATACCAACCCACCCAGCAAGTGACAATTTGGGGATTACAAAAATAAAATGAGTCGAATATGGTATGTATGGGCGTGAACCGACTGACCGCATGACATGAGGGATGATACTATTTCATATTGTTATAATGAACTGCGGTTCAACCTTTCTCTCTCATGGGACACTCGGTTTGATACAAAACAGATATGTGATAATAAAGAGTGTATTGCCAAGTCCCCTAGCCGATTATAGACAATTGGAACAGCCCATCTCTAATTAGACACTCTATTGATTAAAGTTGAGATGAGTTAGGAACCTCAGTTAGATACCCCCAGAATTTAAAACAGTTTGCATTCCAAAGAGTTATCAACAGCTATCTTATTAAAGTTTATATTGGTTTTTGGCTCGAAGTTCTAATAAACATCTTTTAGGGTTTTATCAAATAGATCAGCACGACATATCCTCATTTTACTGTTGCATTGTGTTTTGTGTTCCCAAATTACATGATGAATGTTTTAAACCAGAGGAGGCTTGTGCGGTGTATGGGCCATGGCACCTAACAACAAGCATGATGGATGGGTTAAAATAAAATATTAGATACAGTCAGAATTGATGACTCCCCGATGCATTATATGTTATATTGATAGATGCATGGATAATGCACTTAAGTATTCTGGTATATGATTCCTTGAACAAATCATAACTCCAAATTTATCATCTTTGAATTATATATTTATAGTTGATAGAATCCCAATAAAACAATATAATATACAGGTAAAATGATTGATTTTTATGATATATGATTGTTGGTCATGTAGTATTTAAATGGACATAACGAAGTTGTTTATGTGCCTGTTAATGTTTCATGCCCTACGCCACTTCCTATAATGCCCATCAAAAGATAATTGAAACACTTCAATAAATTAGTAGATGCATAAGTGTTATGGATGTTGCTGGACCTACCTCCGTTAACTTGACGCACCCATGTGGAATACTGACTAGTGGTTGGCGAGACTGCAAGACCCGGAGAGGCACTACCGTAGCCGGCGCTGGGGAGCGGCGATGACTCGGCTTGGGCTGGCTGGTTGGAACTGACCACAGGTGTGTTAACTAATTTAGGGCTCACTCCGCTCCCTCCGGAATCGCTCATATACCCTGCAGTTTGTCCACTGTAATAGTTCGGCATTCCTGAGTTTGGATATGTGGTCGGAGTATATGTAGAGAATGATGGCGATTTGGCGGTTCCTGCCAGTGGTTCATAGCTGTGTATCCGTGGATACCCTCCACTTGTGCTAGGGTCATCGTAACCCGGATACCCTGTCATACCAGCGTAAAAGTTACTTGCATTGTCATATTTACCATCATAGTTGTATAAACTTTCCTGTAAGCCATTTCCTGGTAAGTTGCTGGAAAGTATATTTCCAAAATATGAATTCATTCTGTAAAAGTTTTATGCCAAATGATTAGTTGTCTCCACTCTTGATCTCTGCCATGGAATCTTTGCCAACAACTTGTATTATTCACCAAACCAATTACCACGTGACCTCACTGACCAATCACACGGCGGCTATCAGGTGGCCCTCGTAAATTTGACTTGTACTGGGGAATGAAAGATTTCCTATTGTTCTCAATGCCAGTCAATATACAGTAATAAATGCGTATTGCATAAGTCAGACATGTATCAAAGGCTAATGACGTGCCAGAAGTATAATTTTTGTCCATTTGTCTCAGACTGACCAATGGTAGGCTTACATAAAATGACAATTATCCCATTAACATTTCTATTTTATGCTTTCTAAAAATCTTTGGATCACATTGTTCAAGGATGAAAGACTGACATGATCAGACAAAAGAATTGATATTAGTTCTATTGAAATGTATAAAAATGCTGTTGTACTAGAAAGAATAGAAAAGTTAGGAGAGAACAATAGATATTGGGAAGGTGAGTAATTACAATGACAGGGATTTGCATAATAAGGAAGTCAACATAAGCTTCAAATCATAATTTTAAATCAAGAAAATGCTACCCTTGAAAGCATATCATCTTGCATCTGTACGGGAAGATGTTGTTTCCATTGGTTGAAAGCATTTGTATTCATCTAATTGATCCACAAAGACACTGGTCTGAATAGAAAATTCAATTAATATGAAAATTATACAAAATATAAATCAAACTGAGTCGTCATCTGGCTGCTCCACTGTATTAAAAACACAATATTGAATTTTATTCGTCTATGACCAGTTCCGAAAGTTCAAATGGTCTACAATATATTGTGGTCAAGGGGTGTGATAAGTTCAGACCATGTTCAGTTTCTGTTTAGAATCTGATCAAACTGAGGCTTTGAGGTCATAACTCACTTACATCGAATCGTTTGGCGATATTTCCCGTGACTGATGGAACATAAGTCACAAAGGACAGATTTACGACATAACTTTACCGTTTAAAACCCTAAAGCCACATACTGGCGATACAAGACAATGTAGTAACCCGCATCAAACTAATTAATATCCATAGTATTTCAAGTCAAAAAAGTCATATATGTCAATTGGGTGTTGTTTTTCTCGATATTGTGACAGAGGTAACTTATCAAGACCTCAATACGCTTTGGGGCAATTCGCGTGGTTCTTTACTAAATACTAATCCAAATGTAACCAGGTTAAAATGTTATTTGTAATATTTTACTGACATTCCAAATGATAGAAAATCGACATCATTGGAAGAACAAACTGCGGCAATTATAATTTCGCTTAATTAACTGACTGACCACTGCTTGAAAACAACATAAATAAACTCATGTCGGGAAAATAGATAGTGAGCGCAGAAGAAGAGATACGATATGAATCATGTGAAACTGAAAGGATTTTAAAACGGTCTGTGTAAACGAGTTTATATTTTAAAGGAGGTTGTGCTTGTTTTTCAAATGTTGGTCTTGTGCTTTCATTTTTTCCAATGTCGTTGTGATATGCGTGTGTATTATATTTTCAAGGTCTAATTTTCTTGCGGATTCATTGCAGTATTACTCATTCACCCTTATGTTCAACACACTGTAATATTACTCATTAATTAAGTCATTGACTCAATCGATCAGTCTGTTACTATTAATTTACAAAAAGAATACACCACAACCACCTTTGCATCTTTCGAATTATGCGCCGAAACATATAGACACAAGGGATCGGGTCACGGTGACATAATACCGGGGCTCATCAATTGAATACACATGTTTCAGCTCGCATTAGAGCTTGATTGATGATCAGAAGCTGATTATGTTTTTTCATGATTACGATGTCACAATGCATGATACATCTTAAGATATTGGAGGTAGTAGCTGAAATCACGTTATGAATATATCTTGATCATTGGTCAAAACTCAAAATCATGGTCAAAAGTTGATATGCAATGGATATGATATACATATTGATTGGTATGTAATGATTTAAACAAAGGGAAACAATGTAAAGATCTTCCAAGATCTTATGCGTTATCCCAGACTTTAATATGCAATTGCCAGTATAACTGTATTAATGACTCCCAACTGCTGTCCAGGGCTTATTATTGACCGGAATCTAACAAATTAAGAAAGTGAATTTCGATCAATCAAAATCGCCATCAATCAATCGAAAAGTCAATACCAAAATTACAATTGTTTTTCAAATGTGACATGGGTCCATTTTAAATTATTAATCAAATTATCTAATTAAAAATGTTTTTGCTCCATGAAATGTAATTGAACAACTGGTCAAGCGAATTAATGTGACAAAGAACAAATGAGAAACAACCTTGTGACGTGTGACAAACTGTTTTATAAAGAAACCGACCAAACAGCAAAGAAGGCAAATCTAAATCTAATCTCAACGGTTGTCGACATGTTCGATCAATGGTCAGATAAAACTATAAAACACGCAAACTAACTGACTGACAGTACATAACATCTCATCACAGTGAACACCTGGTAGCCCCTGCACGATAGGACAGTGATACTATGGTGCTTTTGGGGATCTGAGTTGTTTGGCTTTTTGATGCTATCATTTGTCCATTTGTTCCTTTTTTGTTTGAGATAGGGAAGTAGTCCTTAATGTGGCCTCAGAATACATAGGTTCTATTTCAAGACCATTTCGCAAAAACGTACAACTTTTACTCAAACGTGATGAAAATGATTGGATTTCATTTTGAAAATCTCCAACCATGTCCGACCAAATTATACATATTACAGAATAAGAGGGCTAACCTGAAACAATACAGGTCCATGCATATCACCCATGGAATCATGCATGTAAAGTTCCTGCTGTGAATCATAAATTCATAAAAATAAACTACATTCACAAAGTGCAATAGTTGACCACAAAATGACATTCGTTACACAAGTGAATAATATAAAACACCACAATATGCAATCACTTCACCTCTCTGTTGTTCCTCAATTCGCTTCCCTATCGTAGAATACAAGTTCATCACAAAGTAATACTAGAATGAGTACAACCTTCATATAACAGATTAAACAATGAATACAATTTAAAAATATCAAATTACTATTATTACAACAAGAAAATACCACAGAACAATCATAACAAACATTACAGTAAAATTTCTAAAAGGACAACGCATTATAATAACAATACATAACGACACAGATATAACAAATTGGCAGTTCCCAAAGAATTCTTTCCAAAAAGATAACTACACCCAGTCCATCCGAAAATCAGTTCTTCTTTGGACTGCTTCTCTAAAGTAGTTTTGTTCAATCCTAGGAAGCAAACACAAGGTAACAAACAAAAATTGCAATGAACCAATCATTATTGTGCTATTATTGTTTAACTTCCAAATGCGAAAAGTAAGATCTGTACTTTCACTCAAATGAATACTGGTTAAGTAAGTAGGGTCAAGTGTGATTCCTAAATATGACACTGCTTATGTCTAGGTAGTTCACATGATTCAGGTAGCATTTGCTTTGAGGCTATTTATTGAATTGTCCGATGAATAGTGAATCAGAGCATATCAAATTGTGGGCGTGTCTGTGGTCAAGATGTCCGAAATATTAAATGTATAACAAAATCGTGAGTTAAAACAAACAGTAGTAATAAAACTATTGTAAATTAAGTACCAATGTTTAAATGTAATGGTAATACATTATGTGGACGCCACCTCTCTTAGCACAATAACACAAAGTTAATTCTTACCTGGACACATTCGTTGGCAGAAAAAAGTATTATTTCATGTTATATATAGCAATATAATGACCGAAGTGACATCACTTAGGATAGTATCACACAATATTTATGAAACACAGGATGAGAAACGTAAGGTGGAAGATAAAGGCACTTTTTAGAACCCCATCAAACCATAAAAACAGACAACACTAACTTTAACACACCTGACAACTTATAAACACGCGGACATATTGTTGACCGATGACAATATTTAAACAAATGCATACATATATAAATTTCAAAACATATTTTTTCTACTTATTTTCCTAAAGATTTGCAGCTCGTATCTATAGCTATATATAGTTGCTATGGCAACATTTATTTAAATCGTTGAATAGAATAATTTGTTAAGCTTGATAATAAAAAGGCTCATTTTCGACAATCACAATGGTCAAAAACAGATGGACTGGACAATATTTGGTAACAGCTAAGAGTTTGTTGAGACATGTAAATACTACAGCGAAAGTATGACTTTAAATAGTACAACTGTATAAGATATATATCGGATTATACTTGTATATTCTGGAAAATGATAAATTCATTGTTAGGAAAATGTTGTTCTCATGCGACCTAAGCAAATGTAGGTGCATTTTAATGATAGAAGTGACAATATTGACATCGGACACCCTGTAAGTTGCATTTCAAAATAGAAACATTAAACTATCTTGTTACTTACAATGGCCTTCTATAAATATGTCGTAATTATCAAATTATTGCAAATTTCTAAATAATTACAGGTATAATCTTTACTTATTTTACAACTAATACTACGATTATTTGTACAGCACGAAATATGCCCCAAGACACAAATTAATCTAAAAAATGATATACGCTGCAACTGAATAAATAGAAACACATACATAACCCCTTAACCCATAGTACTTTAATACTAAAACCATGCCCACTTACGTGACATAACTTCCGTAATAAGGTACTGAATACTGAAAATCAGTCAAACTGAAAACAATAATGATTTCAAAAAAATCTGTGTTTGTCAGTATTTATTAAATAAGCAAGTGTTTATACCACCATTGACAAATACATTCCTAGAAAGTAGGTATTTGGAGGATAGCATCGATATGTATGAAAGCAATCCAGAAATAAATCCAATAAGTGTTTTGACAATTAATACTAAAGCATACCTGATTTCTCTAAAACTCAGTCTTTAATACGATTGTTTACTCCATCGAACACAAAATAAAGATTTCATCAAAATTAAAAAGAAAAAAGGTGGGAAATTATGGGTACTAGTTATTCCAAAACTACAAGGTTGCATAATTTTTCGGTTACCCAGTAAGATAACTAATAAAAGAATCATATTTCAATCAAAAATTATAAGCTTGGATATATAGGGTGTCTCAAAAATGTACCCAAAAGTATATCAACAGCATAGACAAACCAATCAATATTTTCAGACATTTTTGCATGGTCTTGGAGTCAAAACA